GCCCTGTAAATTGCGTCACATGTTTCTGGAATTAAATTCGTCAGAGCTGGCTTGGAAATAACGGTGGAAAATTTTAAGTCTTTGTAGCTTCTTCTTGTTGCCAAAAATGTGAGTGTCGCGGATAATCGCACGTCTCATAAAGGGGTCTGCTCGCGAAATCATTGGCGTAATTAAGTTTAGCAAATGCAGGTATGTGGCTTCGTCCATACGTAAGTAATTACGAAAATCGTCAGAATCATTGCGTAATTCCGCTATTAAATTCGTATGAGACAAGAAATTCCTATTCAGCAACCATGGTTTACACCATTTCCTTCCTAGTTTTTAAGTTCATCTTTTTTTTTAATTACACACACTGCAGCCGTTGCAAGAATGAACTCCACGTCCAAATGTTCCATCTTGGCAACAATGCACGTTTGGGTGTAAAACGAACTGAACGTGTAAACGCTCGCGCAAGCCAAATCGTTCAGTTCATCTGCACAGATCTGGCTTGCGCAAGCCAAATCGTTCAGTTCATCTGCACAGATCTGGCTTGCGCAAGCCAAATCGTTCAGATGGCTTGAACGTGTAAAGGGGCTTTTACACTTCAGTGAAGGCTTACTTTGAATAACATGAGTAGTGCTCTGATGCACATGCGGCGGCGCCGGGTAAGAAACAGGGGGCGGCCTGGTGTCCTTTGGAGACGCCAAGTTTTGCGTACCCCCCGAACTAGTGGCAGGCGGCGGGCTTCGCACAACCAATTTCCCATTATTAGTTTCCTTCCGTTTTGCCGGCGGAATGTACTTGTCTGGGGACGAACGGAAACATTGTTTATCCACACAATCGATCAATTCACGCAATAATTCTTTCAAGCTTCAACGTTTGTTTGAGTCTCATTCACGCAATTCCCTGTATGTGGCTCACCGCTGTCTTGGGCTGGTCGAACGACTGCAGCAAAGGCAGCCTCCTCATCCCCATTCTCCATGTCGAGCCGGGCTTTGTACGCTGGCTGGTTCTCTATGGAAATATTGTTTAATTAGACTAAGGCGCGTAAAAAATGCCAGCCTAGCGACGGAACGAATCGATTTAAGCGAGAGAGACACTATGAGCGTTTACTGGTACCAAAGCGAGATGCAACACAGGACAACAGTCCCATAGGTATATTTGTAGGCGGGGGCTTTGATTCGTTCGGCCACTAAAAGCAATGCAAATAACAGTTAAACTTGCCGATCTCCTGGGCGATTTGGGCCGCTTTGGCTTGCGCCTCCCGAAAGTCGGCCGTGTCGCTGGTTTGCAAAGGCACCGTGTACCCCCTTAATGAGTGGTCAAAGGTTGATTGGACCTAGAAAAAACGCAGTGCGATATACGAAAATGGCCCCAAACAACGAGAACTGCACTCACCCCATATTCCTGTTCGTTTTTCCGGAACATGTCCTGAACGTCCCACCCATTGGACAGCTCCAGCTCCAAGCTCACGTCGTTTCCGTTCATGTTTCCGGCATCCCAGGGCTCCAGCTCCTTTTCCTCTGACCGACTGCCGTTTACTCTTGACGATATCGCCGAATCCGTCTGAGTAACAAGTGTTATGTTATGGAAATGAGGACAGTGTCTAAAAGCCCGTTTACACGTTCAAGCCGTCTGAACGATTTGGCTTGCGCAAGCCAGTTCTGTGCAGATGTGCTGAACGATTTGGCTTGCGCAAGCCAGATCTGTGCAGATGAACTGAACGAAAATCTGGCGTTTACACGTTCAGTTCGTTTTACACCCAAACGTGC